TGCTGTTAATTACTGGCAGCAGAGCATAAGAAATTTAAATTCTCTTTTGATTCTTATAAGGAAAATTAATTTAACTTTTATATCTTAATTCAACGTCATGAAGGGTTTTTTTTTTTTTTTTTTTTGGTACATGAAATAATGCAAAGTAAAATATATTGATGCAGTAATTCCAAGTTTAAAATGGGGCGAGTAAAGTGATAGAAAAAGTTAGTTCTTAACAGGAGATCATTGTGAAGCATGTGCAAGCAACATCTGATATTGTTTTATGACAATGCACTCATTAGCTGTCAGAAATACAACCCTATAGTCTCGATCACTTGTCTATCAAGTTTTTTAGCATAATATATTTTCAAGAGTCTCAAGAATAATGCCAAAAGGTAGATATACTTCATATGTTCTCATTTGTACAAGCATGAACATTATACATGTTATGCCAAAGTGGAATGTTTATACAATTTCAAAATGATTAGCAATGTGCAAAATGAAAAGTACTGTGTTTTATGTAATCTTGTGCCTTTTTAAAATTGTTTTCAACTAATTTATTTCTTTGACATTCATCAGATTTAAATGGCAAAAAATTCGAAGCAAAAAAAAAAAAAAAAAAAAAAAAAAGAAAAAAAAAAAAAAGAAAAAAAAAAAAAAAAAAAAAAAAAAAGAAAATAATAATAATCATTAAAATATTTGGTACTTTTCCGTTTCGCCGGCGCAAATCTCACCAAGCAGTCTTTGCTGGCGACAACATACAGTATACACATAAAAAATGTTAATAAATGTTAGTTTTAAGAATTTTTTAATTTTGAAGGTATAAACAGTTTAGTATGGTTTAAAATTTTGTAAAAAGCCAATAAATAAAGACAATAAATTTGTAAAAAGACATTAATTTAAGAATTTACTATGCTATCGCGGTTCAACATCCTGATTCGCCGGTTCGTATCACGTGACCCCCAAGGGATCTCATCTCACGTAAACTAACTACGCTACAAAAATATAATTCTCTCAGTAATTATCTACACTAATTTCAAGTTAAATCTTAATTTTGATTACAAGTTTAAATGCAAGAATTATTTCAATTCGTTACAAATAGCTTACTGAGAAACTATGTAAAACCGTAGTGCTTCACTTCGCTAGTGCATTCTCATTAGAATGGGATAAATTTAAACCCTTGATTTTGCCTTTTCTATATTTTCACCTGAGCGGTGTGATTGCATCCTAATTGACTTAATTACCGCGAATGGTCTTAGGGCATAAAATTTAATTATCTTTGTAAATATTCTATGTAATTTTATGCCAGTATTTAAAGAAACAATCAATCTGGTAAGAAATGGCTGCGACTTGTTTTGAAAATGAGGTGTAAAAGGTTACCAGCGAAGATATTCCGTTTGGCATCAGTTGTACCATTATTGGCGACTTTATCGTTTGCGCCGGCAAAACGGAAAAGTACCATATTTGATATGGTTAACTTGAAGAAAAATACAAGGGAAAAAATAACGTAAGAGATATTCGTAAAATTAGAAATTTTTAATGTAAATTAAACAGCTTCCCAAAGAAATCGGGGGGGGGGGGAGGAAAAGATTGGCTAGTGAACTAAGATTAACATGGAGTCATGAAACAGTAGATATCGTTTTAAATGTCTGAAAACATTTGCATTTTAGGATGCTTTTGCCCCACATAAGCTCAGTTAAATAGGAATCTAATTGGTTATGATCAGTGCTGCGTTGACGTTTATTTTGTGATTTCGCACTGCCCCATAACCTTTCAATATCTTGTGTATGACAACCAGTATTGAGATTGATAAGTTTATGGCTAATGCAAAAATGTTCAAATCTGCTTTCTGTAAATTTTTCAGTGTTATATGTTTTTCAATAGTCTCAGTATATTATAGTGCCATCAATAATATTTTCTTCAGTAACTTTAAGTTCTAGCAAAGCCGTTAGGCAGAACAACTAAAAAACATTCTTTTGTTTTTCTGCAAATCCTGCTGTACACCCAGTGGGGCGAAATGATGCGATTCACGTTGTTTTTTCAATGGGAAAACAGACTTTTGTCAACTTTGACAATATTATCAGTGTCACCTATATTAACCAACGGTCTAGATATTAATATGCAGCCACAAACTTCCCTAATGTAACTGTTCCAGTCAACAACAGTGCAATGATTCAAATCAAATTGATTCTGACCAAATTCAAGGGAAGTTAATTCTAAACACTATGCATAAAAGAAACGAATTGAAATTAAGAAACTGATTCTTGATTGTTCAAATCAATTTTGAGACTAATACTTTTTCTCCTCTGCGTGTCATATCTTCTTATCTGTATTTTGGTGTTTCCTTCGAACTGAAGTACAGCTTCATTTTATGGCTTTTTGTGCACTTATTTTAAAAGTAAATTATTCCTTGTTCCTGAAGAATTGTATGGCTTATGTTTCTTGATTAGCTAAGTCCCAAATTTTCATATCCATACTAAATACAATAATAATAAAAACATGAGTTATTGTTGCATCTTTAGAATTTGTATTCTTCTAGCCAGTTTTAAAAAGGCATTCTTTTGATTTTTTTAGAAAGTAAACATTGTAACATATTAAAAAAAAGTAAACATTAGCGATTTCATATGAGCCAATCTCTTGGCAAGTTTAGCAAAACATTTGGTGATGACTCTGGTCCTGATAACAGAACGGTATCGGTAAATCTATTTAAAATGGTAACACCCTTTTGACTTTCTTCTGTATCCAAGTTTCATAATTTCATCAGAGCGTTTTCATTATTGTGCTCCTTAGTCTTAAAATTTTGTCATTAGTCTTCATATCAAAACTAGAATAAACCCTGCCATGAAGACCACCTCTTTAAGACAACCTCTTCTGAAAGTGACAAGTATTCTGTGAATAAAAGCAAACACTGTTATTAAATTTCACCTCTCAAAGAAGATCACTCCTACTATTGGTGCACAGTCATCTTGGAGAGTCATATAATTTTACTTCATACTTTGTTCCCTCCGGCATACAACTGCTGGCAACCCAGGTATGTGTAGTACATATCTGTTTTGGCTGCAATGCTGAATTGCACAGGTGTCAAGTTTGTACAATTCTCTGACTTTTTAAGTGAAAACAGTGTGCTTTTCATGGAAAGATTGTCAGTCCAAAAAATGGGGGAAGGGGGTGGAGGATTTCTTGAAAAAGGCAAATTTTTATTACCAAATATTTCTTCCTTTTAATTTTTATTGATTGATTATTCTTGTATGGGGTTCTTAGTGTGGCACCATCTTGAAAAGGGCTGTTGCCTTTTGTGTATTAGGTTGCTTAAGAAGCAGTTGCCAATGAGTTTACGAGTACTCTTCAGATTTAGCAACAAATTTGCAATTTTTCAATGGGGATATCATCTAAGCAGAAAGTACCCACATTAGTAACCTTGGTAGAGGCCATATTATTGGCATGAAAAAACTTCTTTGTGTGGTATTGCCATGTGAAAAGGATGGAGACTATTTCTCTGTCTTGAGTATGTAGTGACTAGTTGAAAGGAGGGCATGAGGACATGAAGATAAGTTTTGGACACATTGTGCAGACAGTGTTGTGAGAATATCATCACCTCATCAAGGATGTCTTTGGCTGACTGTTCTGTATTATCAGCAGTGTTATTGCAGCAGTGGCAAACGATAATACATTTGCCAATATCATGTGTTGCAATATATCACTATTTATTATGAGGGTCACTTTGAAATTTTTCAGATACACATAGATTTTTAAAGTTATACTCACGAAATTTTAGGAGTGTTCAAAGTAGTCTCCACCAGCATCAATGCACTTCTGTAGGTGAATTTGCCAAAGATTAAATGCCTGAAGCCATTCATTTCTTGGAATTGATGAAAAAATGCATTTATAGCCTCATCAATCTCATCTTTGGAATGAAAATGGCTTGATGGGTGTGACCAGTCCTCCACTTCTGAAGAAAACAGCGTACATTACTTTTTTCATGCCACTTAATCTTTTTACCATTATGGATGTGGGATCATTTTCAAAGACCCATGCATTACATTCTTGACTTCTTGGAGTGTTAAAAAATGGTATGTACATTTTATCATCAGTTATGATTTTAGAAATAATGTGGTGGCCACCATCTTTAAGTAATTTAAGGGTTTTTCTTACTGATTCTGACACTCTCCTCTTTTTGGTGCTCAGTTAAATTACAAGGAACCCAACAGCAAACTGCTTTTTTCATATGCAGTTTTCATGAATAATTTTATGTATGGTGGCAGGACACATTATCCGGGATTACTGCTGAAAATGGCCTTCCTGCATGTTCTTCAGTTTAAGAGATGTGTGACATCTGTGAAATTCTGTAAACTATCTGAATACAGTACTATGAGATGGAACTTTATTGCTAATTGTAGACGTTGAACACATTCTTCTTGATTTAATCCCACTTCAAAATCGTAGAAAATCATAGCACAATAATTTTCTCGCGTCCATTTTTCCTTCGGCCTAAAATTCATTCTACACTAAAATACTTGCCATTGGCCAGTAAAAATTGTATGCTTGGCTGAAATAGTTCATATTTTCAAATTTAATGTTAATTTTTTTTCCTGCCTGTTATCTGCACAATTTCAGAGTGACCTACATAAGCTTTCAATTACAGGTAGGTAGATCTACCACTTCACGTGACCTTTGCAGTTACACTGCAGTGAGCAGCATATTTCTTCACTTCTGTGTTGTATCAAACGTTGTATGTGTTAAATTAAATGACATTACATTGTCTTGGGTTAATCATATTTTTACAGGTAAAAATAATGGTTGTAAACATGTCCTCTATGGAGACATTGAGAAGGACTATATACACATACAACATATTTTACCAGTAAGAAGCTGTCCTGTATGGTTTTTTTTTTTTTTTTTTTTTTTTTTTTTTTTTTTTTTTGCTCTGACTTCATTCACCTCTCATAATAAGTGCTCAATATATTTAAGATATTTTCTGATCAGTTACACTTCTTGCATTACCTTCATTAACTTTCCAGCAAGACGATGCCATACCTCATACTGCAGCAACACTGTGAGGTGTATTTAGAGTTAATAGTGTCTCCTTGGCTGTATAGATCACATGATTAATCTCCTACCAAAAACGTGCGATAGGAACAAACGAAGGGTGATGTGATAATCTTTCAGCAAGCGATGTTGAACTTTGAGCAAGTGTTAAGTAAGTTTTGATGACTATTCTATGAGACAGTGTTAAAATTTTATTTACTTCACTGCCACAGTGTGTTAGGCAACCAACATAAGCTAAATGTAGATATGCAGAATACTAACTATATCACTCTATATGATCTGCACTACCTGACATTGAAAATGCAACACCAAAAAGGAGGGGGCAAAAAGTGATGAGACTCGGCAGAGACAGCAACGAACAATAAATAAACTTTATTTTCAAAATGACATGCATAATACAAAGTGAGAACAATGTCAGCCCAGGTTGTAGGACCACCTTCGATGGCAATACACGAAGCAACACGTCTATGTATAGATTCAATGAGACTACAGCATGTGTCCTGAGGAATGGCTCTCCATTCCCTGTTAACCATTTGCCACAGTTTGTGACTTGAAAGCAACAATGACATTGTCTACAAGTGGTCAGGGCATCCTATCATATCCCAAAAGTGTTCGATTGGTGAGAGATCGGGAGAGAAGGGTGGCCAGGAAAGCATCTGTACACCTTGCAGAGCACGTTGGCTGCTGCGAGCAGTGTGTGGTCGGGTGTTATTATGCTGATAAAGGGCATTGAGGGAAGTGCCACCAGCTGCAGCACATCATCCATGCATCATTGAACCACCATAGTGTCCTGAATATGAACCAAAGGTAATCAGGAATCATACGCACGATGTTGCATTATCACATGGTTATTCCACAGTTGCTGTGTGATTGGATCTGTCTCCAGATTGACGCACACTTGTATGCGGAGACTATCATTGAAGAAACAGAAGCATAACTCATCTGAGAACACGACTCTGTGCCATTCTGTCGTCCACATCGCTAAAGACTGGCACCATTGCAGCTGTTAACTGTTTATGATGTGGGGTCAATGGCAGTCTTCTAAACAGATGCCACAAGTGCAGGCCACTAGCCATCAATCGACGGCAAATGGATTTGGTCGATATGGGGAACATTTAGGGTGTCTTGAACTTGCGCAGATGCGTGTAAGCGGATTTGCCAATTCACGTGCACTGATGTCACTCTGGCTGCATCGGCACCCCTCAAACTTGCTGTATTTCCTTGTTCCAACCATCGTTGCCACAGCTGGTGCACTGTGGACACGTCCAGGTGTGTGTCAGCTGAGATTTGCTGTATGGACCAACCTCTCCTCCTGAGTCTGATCACCATGCACCTCGTAAAATCGTCTGTCTACTGGAACTGCCTCCATTGATGATGGCCTGGCATTCTCTGCTATTACGTGCATCCTCTGAGGCAAGAACAATTTTTCTAGGATGATTTCCCTAACAGAAATAACACGAAAATTGAACATTCTGTAGGTTCCTTCCCATATATCTTCTTCAATGTGCGCATTTCACATCATTTGCATTAACTCGGTGATAATGCGCTTACCCTGAAATTTTCATAATTTTCAGGCCACTCCTTCTTGGTGTTGCACTTTCAATGTCGTATAGTGTATATTGTTTCTCAGTGCTAATCATTTATTCAATGTTGTCTACTTTAGCATCAAAAATAAAATGTATAGTTTCTAGGTGTTTTGTTTTTAAGAATTACCAACTTTGGAGAGCATTCACAGACACACTACTGACTAAATTTTTGCCAAGTTATGCGATAAGTTTATAACCAACCATGATAGGTTGGTTTTTTTGATTCATTTGATTACAGTAAAGTATATGAGGGCTATCTCTCTAAAACAAGGGATGCCTCTGTGAAGGATTTTCTAAGAGAAACTGACTCGTATACATGTTACACATGAGGAAAACCATGAAAACTCCCATGCAGCTAACCTATTTGCAGGTATTTTAACCCCAGATCGAGTTACCAATCTTCAGCAACCTTACCGCTCAGCCATTGATGGGCTAATCAATCAATGAATCAATAAATTAAAAAATCAAATCCAAAGCAAGAAATGTCAGTAATAAAAATGTGTATCCTTTTTGAGAAATTCTTTTTTTGCTCTGTTGTCTCCATGTATACAGTGATTTGTTTTGCTCAAAAAACATCAGAGAATTACACAAATCATCATCATACAGCTATTGACATTGCACACCAGCCGAAACAGGTATACTACTCACATATCTAGGTTAAAACGTGAAAAAGTTTTCGTGCTATAGTGGGCTGAAATGTAACTCTTTTGCATCATGAATATTATTACACAACATGTCAGGGGCTTGCAAATAATCAAGCATAAGTATTTTTATGGCAGAAATATTTTATACAACTGAAATATTAAAACCCATCCATTGTGCAAAAAAAAGTGCAAAGTTAGCAATATCAATTACAGCTCTGAATGGGTAATATTGATCAATTATGATTTTCTTAAATTCTTCTTTTGCTGAATCTTATGTACTTTTGCCTTGATTCATACGTTGATTCCAAAAATGAAGTCAATTTTTTTTATTATAAAAAACTATTTGTCTTAATACAGTCAAAAGTCGTTAATCCAAACTCGTCGGGACTTCGGCGATTTCGGATTATAGATCATCAGTTTAAATCTCGTAAGATGGCATGCAGAAATTCTAAAATTAAAAATATGAAACCATAATTTATGAAATAAAGAACAATTATGATCTAAAGGGTATCAAAATTTACAAAAAAAAAGCTTAATATTTATTTGTTCACTTTATTAAACATTTATTTCAATGTAAGTTGTTTAAGTTGCTTTGTTTTATGTGATAATACTTTCTCTTTAATTCTATAAACAGACATAATTTCTTGTTCAGTTACAAAGTTCCGCTGTTCAAGTCCCGTAATTGCTGTGCCGAGAATACCGACTAACTTGTCAATCGAAATTTTTTCGTTTTCACTAACCTCTCTGTCACATTCTTCATGTCTTTATCCATTTTTTGCAACAATTCCACTTTTTGTTTGATGGACATCGAAACATACTTTCGTTTTGTACGATCCTTTGGGAGCTCCAGAATCGGAAATTCTGTTTGACATAATCGAAAGTTCAAGTTTACTTTTATAGTATTGCTCTTACAGTCTGCAAAAAATAATAAGCCGGATCCAATTCGAAAATTAAGGAACAACGCAATCATCAACATTAACTGAAATAGATAATTAAATAATTTTAGCTTATACCGCCCATTATACATAAAACGCGCACGCGAAAACGTATTCTGCACTTGCGCACACGCATATGCGCAGACGTAAGAGGTCTTGCACGCATGTGTCAACGCAGCGCATGCGCAGAAAGTTTTAGCTTTGAGGTCCGGATTATAGATCATTCCGGATCATGGGTGTCCGAATTAACGACTTTTGACTGTATTTACTAATCTTGTTCAGGGTACATACGGTCCTTAAAAGTCCTTATGTTTTTTTGGAATGGAATTTTGGTTCTTAAAAGTCCTTAATTTCGACCAAATTCGGCAGGAGGTCCTTAATTTTAATCATCTGAAATTTCTGTCTGTTTCTACCACTGCCATTTTGAATGTGAATTAAGATTTTGGACAAATATTTTTGGCGATTTATTCACAAATATGATTATTTTTTGAATGGGTGAATAGATTCATGGATTATCATTTGTTCCTATATCTAATATAAATGGTGGGATACTCAAGTTTCTGAGCAAGAAGAGAAACATAAGCATTTCGAAATTATTTAATTTTTTCTAATGAACAATTTTTCACTTTTAGGAATGTGAATTCTTTATTAAACGGTGCCAAATTTGGCGACTTATCAACATTTTGGCAATTTTAAGATCGGTTTCTATAGGAAATTTTAAATTCGGAAGTCTGGGAATTTTTCGATGATATTTTTTTAAAAAATTATAACACTGATCGGTTTCATTAAAATAATGCTAATAAATTGAAATTGTATTCAAGAAATAACATTGAAATAAAACTTTTTTATTTTTCGCCATTATATTATAAAGTAGGGATCTTCAACCTTTCACACCCGAAGGCTACAACAATAAGTTCACAAAGATCTGTGGGCCTCATGTCTGTCAAAATAATAGTGTAGTTAGAAAATTTATAAAAAAAAGGAAGATGTGTTTTGCATGACTACAATTGATTCTAGGCGAAGAGATGGTGTTATAGATTTGTATATTGTACATTGTACATTGGTCCAAAAAGTAAAATGGAAATTGATTTAAAATGTTTTGCAACTTTTTTTAACTACGGAAAAAAAAGCATAAAGATGATTGTACAGAACGATGTTACAAAATGCATTTACAATAAAAAAGAAAGAAAATCTTACATTACTGGTGGGATATGGTAGTTATTTTAGTTTTAATGTAAAATTTGGCATTGTTTTTACTTGATTAAAGCTTCAGTGTCCGGTTTAATCTGTGTTGTTGCAATTTGCAAAGTTTCCTCCAAATGTCTGTCTATCAGCCATCTTTTTGTTTTTGATTTTAGGATTTTCATTTTAGTAGAAAGCTGTTCACGTATGTAGGTACTACTAAAGATAGAAGACGTGAAGAGTGCATGTTTACGAATTCCTGGATACTTATCTTTGGTCACGTATTTCGAATAAAAATAAATGACTGTAGGATTTTAAAGAAACTTGCATTTTACTGTAGTCACACTGTAAATCTGTAAATTCTAATGAAGTTCAGGTGGAACACTTCCAACATCTACAGAAAATGGCGAGGAGAACATTCTGATAAAAATTTCATTTTCACAAAAATTGGAAAATCTGCTTTTGAATTCCTCTTTCAAATTTGAAATGCATTGTACATAATTATTTGAATTCTATGTTGTAGAGTTCTTCACATACTCCATCAATTTTGGAAAGTGAGTAGAATTTTTATTCAGCAGCTGACTTTCCCACAGGATTAATTTTGTCTCAAAAGCTTTCACAAAGTAATAAAGATTATGAACAACTAGATGTTTTCCCAGTAAGCAGTAGTTCAAATCGTTGAGATGACCTATAATATTGGCCAGAAATGCAAAGTCTCTAAACCATTTCTCATCACTGAACTTGTGAATAGATTTCCCTTTAGATTCCTGAATTGTTAAACTTCCCTCTTCAAAGAAAACAGCC